ACACCTTTTCATGTCGGTAGATTCCAGCTAGCATACCTGCTGATGCCAGCGTAGGAAAAAATGTTTTCAAAAGCACTTTAATTCCAGCAGCTCCCACCACTGGAGAAGTAAACTATGAAGATGGCATCATTGTCAGCAGTTCAGGTGGTGGGAGGCAATTTACCTAAACTTACCTTCTCCTTTCTTTTTAATTGAGTTTTTTTTTTAATTGTGGGAAAATTCACATAACATAAAGTTTATCATTTTTAAAGTGTGAAGATCAATGGCATTTAGTACCTTCACAGTGTTGTAAAACTATCCCTACTGTCTAGTTTCAGAACACTTTCATTTCCCCAAAAGGGAACTCCATAATCTTTAAGCAGTTCCTCCCCTCTCTCTCCACCTACTCTCTGCTCTGCAGCCTCTGGCAACCACCAGTCTGCTTTCCGACTACATATTTGCCCTTTCTGAACATTTCGTATAATTATGTATGTATGGCCTTTGGAGCTGGTTATAATGCTTTCAAAACTTATTCATGTTGCAGCATGTATCTACTGAATTCCTTCATATGACTGAATAATATTCCATGGTATGGGTAGGCTATATTTTGTTTATACATTGATCAGTTGATGGGCATTTGAGTCGTTTCCACTTTTTTGACTCCCGTGAATAATGCTGCTATGAATATGGTATAAAAGTATCCATCAGAGTCCCTTTTTATCATTTGGGGGATTTATTCAGGAGCTGAACTTTTGGATAGTATGAGAGTTTTGTATTTAACCTTTTGAGAAGCAAGGGCTRCACCATGTTATAGTCCCAGTGATGTGAGAGGGTTCCAGCTTTTCCACATCCTTTTCAACAGTTTAAAAATTTTCCCCCATATTTTTTAATTAGCACATTATAGTTGTACATAGTGGTGGGATTTGTTGTTACACATTTGTACATGCACACAATGTGACAATGTCATTTGGCCTGTGTCATTCCCCAGTGTTTCCCCTTCCCCCCCCTTCATCCCCCATCTGTTTCCTCTGCTGTACTGATCCTCCTTCAATTTTCATGAGATCCCCCTCACACCATCCTTTCCTTTTCTCCCCCTCTAGCACATGAGAGAAAACACGTGACTCTTCAATTTTGGCTTATTTCACTTAACACAATGGTCTTAAGTTCCATCCACTTTTCTGAAAATGGCATTCTTTCATTTTTCTTTATGGCTGAATGAAACTCCATTGTGTATATAGACGACATTTTCTTTGACCTTCCATCTGTGTWTGGACACCTAGGCTGCTTCCACAGTTTGGCTATTGTGAATTGTGCTGCTGTAAACATAAGTATACATGTATTGCTAGAGTATGATGACTTTGATTCTTTAGGATAAATACTGAGGAGTGGAATGGCTGGGTCATATGGTGGTTCCATGCCTTGTCTTTTGAGGAACCTGCATACTGATTTCCACAGTGGTTGTGCTAAATTACAATCCCAACAGAAATGTAGAAGTGTTCCTTTTTCTCAAAATCCTCTCCAATATTTATTATTGTTTGTTTTCTTGATGGATGCCATTTTGACTGGAATGAGATGAAATCTTAACTGCTAACGATACTGAACATTCTTTCATATACATGTTGGACATTTGTATTTCTTCTTTTGAGAAGTGTCTATTTAGTTCATTTGCCCATTTATTACTTGGGTTAATTGGGGGGGGGGTTGGTGTTCAGTTTTTTGAGTTCTTTTCATTTTCTGGATATTAATCCTCTATCAAAATAGTAGCTAGCAAAGATTTTCTCCCATTCTATAGGTTCCCTCTTTAAATTCTTATTTTTTTCCTTTGCTGTGCGGAAGCTTTTTAATTTGATGCCATCTAATTTATTATTTCATGGCATTATTTTCTAAGCTTGAGGGGTCCTATTGAAAAAGTCAGTGCCTATGCCTACATGAAGGAATGTTGACCCTACATTTTCTTCTAGAAGTTGCTAATTTCTGGTCTAATTCTTAGATCTTTGATCCATTTTGGGTTAATTTTTGTGCAGGTGAGAGAGGTAAGAGTCTGGTTTCATCCTTGCACATAAGGATGATCAGTTTTAGCAGCATCATTTGTTTCAAAAGGCTGTCTTTTCCCCCATGTATCTTTTTGGCCCTTTGTCAAGGATCCGATGACTGTATCTGTATGGGCTTGTCTCTGTGTCTTCAATTCTGTTCCACTGGTTTATGTATCTACTTTTATGCCAGTTCCGTGCAGGTTTTGTTGGTATACTTCTGTTGTATAATTTGAAGTCAGGCTTTGTGATGCCTTCAGCATTGCTTTTTTGGCTTATGAGTGCTTCAGCTATTCTGRGTCTTTTACTCCTCCAAATGAATTTTAGAACTGTTTTTTTTCCTAGTTCTGTAAAGAACATCATTGGTATTCTGAATCACATTGAATCTGTATTTTACTTTTAGTAGTACGGCCATCTTGACAATATTAATTCTGTCTATCCATCTTCTTRTGTATTCTTTCTTTCTTGGGTGTTCTATATTTTTCATTGTAGATCCTTGATTAGAATTATTCCTAAGTTTTTATGTGTTTTTGAGATATTCGACAATTTAAAAAAAATTTTTTGGCTTTATTTGCTTGTTGCGTTTTTTAGTCTTCTTAGTAAGTATGAAGTGCTGGGTCAGCGTGGTCTTGACATTCATTTCTCTAGTGATTAATGATGTTGAGCATCTTTTTCAGTACTTATTGGCCATTGTGTATCTTCTTTGCATAAATGTTTATTCAAATCTTTTGCCCATTTTTAAACTGGATTAACAATTTATTAATTCTGTCTATCTACCTTTTTGTGTATTCTTTCTTTCTGGATTGTTTATCTTTTTGCTGTTGAGTTACAATTACTTATACATTCTGCATATGAGAACTGAATCAAATATGATCAGTAGATCTGCGTTTTCCCCCTCTTGTGGTTATCTTTTCACTTTGTTGTTTTTATTTTTATTTCAATTTTTATTTGTTCTTTGAGGGTCAGGCCTCACTGTATTGCCCAGGCTGACCTCAATTTCCTGGGCTCAGGTGACCCTCCTACCTCAGTCTCCCAAGCACCTGGACTTCAAGTGTGTATCACTTCACCCATTTTAGAAGTTTTTAATTTTAATTAAGTCTAATTTATCAATTTGTTCTTTTTTGTACTTATATAGTTTAGGCATGAAAAATGAAGTAATTGAAGTTAAAGCACATTGGACAATTTCAAAGTAGATTAGGAAAAGGTGAAAGGAGTAAAGAAATGGAAAGCGTGGTGAAATTTACCGATGTGGAAAATAAAATTATATATGTGTGTACATGTACACATATCTAACACATTATGTGTGTGTGTGTGTGTGTGTGTGTGTGTGTGTGTGTTAGGAACTTCAGGACAAGAAAAAATAGAGAATGGAAGCAGAATTCACAGTTTTTTCATGAAGATAAACAAATCTGAAGACCCAAGGAGCTTATACCTAGTCACACTAAGTGTTGTTTGAAACCACAGAACATCAAAGACAAACAGAATTGTCGTAAAAGCCACCAGGAGGAAAATACAGATTACTTGCAAAAAATGGCAATCAAATTAAGTTAGCTTCAGGGCTGAACACAAACAGTTAGGAAAAATCAGAATTGGATGTTCTAAAGCCTTTGCACCATCCCAGAAGCCAGTTATTATTTCCTGACTTTTGACTTTGTCAAATATTGGAGGTTAGTTTAGAATCTAAGAGTGATCACTCAAATTAATAAAATGCCTCTAAACCAGGAGGCAAAATAAATAAATAAATAAGGAAAGAGAGAAAAGAGCAAAGAAAAGCATGCTAAAAAGCAAGTATGATATAAATGATACCACTTGGATATTTTATAATTGTTTATTAATTATAAATACATATATATGGTGCAAATAAAATATGGACAGCAAGGTTATTTCCAAATTTTCTTATAGCAGCAAGAAGAATAGGACCAGGGAGGAGTATAAGGGCACTTTATATTTGAGATTTTATTATTTCATTAAAGTCTGAAGTAATGGGCTAAGGGTATGGCTCAGTGGTATAGCACATGCTTAGTATGCACAAGAGCCTGGATTCCAGCCCCAGCACCCCCAATTCTGAACTAGTTATCACAGCCAGACCCACTCCTGACATTTGCAGGCCTTGGTATGTGGAGMCTGCATACCACATCTAAGTATGTGAAAATTATCAACGGTCATCAAAGCTGTATGAACATGCTCCCTCTCAAAGTCTTACTGCACTATATTCATCCTTCCTGTGATGTGAGATAATATAAATGGTGAGAGGAAGGGAGGTGCATGATGTGCTCAGAATGTACCCAATTTGAAACCTATGAATTGTCTGTTTCTGGAATTCTCCATTTAAATGTTTCCATTGTGGTGGACCACGTACCTGAAACGGTGGAAAGTGAAAGCAGTCTTGGGTTGAGGCTGCTGTAAATCATAGCCAACCTCTGGGAAAGTTCCATATTTCTTCACAGCAGTGGCACCTGGGAGGGCATGTTCAGGAATGGCAGGGAGAGTTCCTAATTCGTGAGTTTTAGAAGAAAACTCATATAGATTTTTCATTGTGGTTCAAACTAAGCCTTGGGGCTATGCAGCAAGAAGCCGCCTCTGCCTGGGGTCCTGTGGCACGTGAGTGCTCTCTTCCTGCAGCTGCCTGGGCTTCGGAAAGGGAAGGTGAGTGCAGGTGGGGGTGAAGCGTTAGGACTTTCCTGTGGAGACACATCACTCCAGGTTCTGCCTGGAATGAAAAGGGCACTTGTAAGCACCCCTAAGTGAGGAGGGAGGCTCTGGAGGCCAACAGGACTTAAAAGAGGGAGCAGTGCACTCAACATGCCTAGATAGCATCTACGGTAAATAACCGGGCAGCTTGGGAAACTGAACCTTCTCCTTGATGTGGGAGGCTTTCTGCCACCCCAGTCAATCTGTCTGATCTTACAGCCTGAAGTTATTCACCTCACTGACTCCCTTGGAAACGTGTTGAGCTGACCTGGATCCTGACTGTGTTTGCTTTCCCTGCAGAATGAACGAGCGTGACCGCCTGATAAAGAGGCTCGGCAGGAAGACACCCCCGACCCTCTTCCTTGGTGGCTCTGTGAACCAGCAGTGTGTCTCACGTGAGTACATGCTGTCATCCTAGACAGGGCAAAGGGACCTGGGTAGAGCCAGGAGGGCAGCAAGCTGCAGGAACTCCAAGTAGTGCTAATCAGCCAAAGGTGTGCTTTGGAAGTGCACATATTTGGCCCCAAGGCAAATACAGCTTGAATGTTGGGAATTCCCTCAAACCCAATCAATTGCCTGAATGACAAAAACCTTAAACCTAAAATCCTGCTATGGTTAAGATCCTTCTTTCAGGGCTGGGGATGTGGCTCAAGAGGTAGCACGCTCGCCTGGCATACGTGCGGCCCCGGGTTCTATCCTCAGCACCACATACCAACAAAGATGTTGTGTCCGCTGATAACTAAAACATAAATATTAAAATTCTCTCTCTCTCTCTCTCTCTCTAAAAAAAAAAAGATCCTTCTGTCAGCCTCCAAATAGAATTTCTAAAAATTGAAGTGATGTTAGAGTTCAATGACTGCCTTCACTGATAGCAATATGGATTGCTTTACTTATTGGTGTAATAATTGTAATGATAACAGTTGGGCAGGGGGAATCTCTTCTTTTCCCATGAAGACTGACCCATGTCTAAGATTGCCATACCCCCCCATCACCCCCAGACCCAGAGGAGTAGAGAGTGAGCTGTGATTGACCCCCCTCCCCAACACACACACACACACACACACACACACACTTAATTTGGAGCTCTTAGGAGAGCTCCTAGGCTTCTCTTTAGCAATGCACCCATTCAGCTGCCAGCGAGAGAGCCCAGGCTGCCTTCCCCCAGGGGTCTGGGGACCAGCCTGTGCCTCTAGAGATCCTGCTTCCTTTTCCAGCCCACCTCCCCTCTCCTAACTGAGCACAGGTCATCTCTTTATAATCCCAGACCCCACTCCCTGCTTCTTGTCCCTCCCTGAAAAGTTGAGAAGGAAGCATCTGGTAAAAAAGAACACCTCATGAAACACTGAACACAGCCCAGGTGCCCATGGATTGGTGTGGGGTCCAGTCGCACTCCCCCTGACCACAGGGATTCTCAGGCCTTCTCAACGGAAAGGGAAGGTGAGGCGCAGCACACGGCCACCTTGGAGTCATCCACTCCCTTTCTCCTCTTCCCCATGTGGAATATCCCTTTCAGATATAGGGGCCTGACCTGTCTATGAAGGTCCCTCCAGGCCAAGGGTTAGGCACCAGCCCTGAGAGCACAAAGCAAGCTCAAGTCAGGAGAGTAGTGGCCCAGGGAGGCCCTGTGGGGTATAGGTCACAGCCACTGGTCTCTGACTGAGAGAGGTCAAGTTCAGAGGTATGATGGGATCTTCCAAGGAGTGCACCCCCACTGAGTTGGGCTGTCTGGGTTCCCTGCTCTTCCATTTTTCTGTGACCTTGGGCAAGAAAAATGTCTGCATCTATAAGATGAGGACAACAGGAAAACCTGGCTGGGTGATCAAGAAGATTATTTGAGATCWTATACATAAATGCCTAGAGCTGTGCTGGACTCTAGAGAGTTAGGTATGACTGTAATGATGACAGTGACGATGCTGATGCCATTAGCTGAGAAACTGTTGGCAACTTACACATTTCTCTAAATTTCTTCTCTGGGAAAGAGAATAAACTTATAATAATATGCATGCAGCCTTATGCATCTTCTCAGTGTGAAGTATCTTCTGTATGCCATACACAGAGAAAACACATACAAATTCCCTGAACCACAGTGTTCATGCTACAGAGCCACTCTGCTCCTCTAGTCAATGTCTCAAAGTAACCATAGGGAAAAGACATTTGCAGGATTAGGGGTATGGTTGGATGGTTACCTAGCATGCACAAAAACCTGGGTTCTGTGCAGAAAAGAAAGAAAGGACATATACAACGTGTGTGTGTGTGTGTGTGTGTGTGTGTGTGTTTGTGTGTTGCAATCAAAGACCAAGCGGAGAGCCTTAAACAGTCTAATTGATTTTCTTAAGTCACCATTTTGAAGGCAAAAAAAAAAAATCTACTGAACAAATATGAGAAATAAATCAGCTTCTAGTATCATACCACATTTTAAAAATACTTGATGACTAATACGAGGGCCTCTTAGACAATGTAAGACACTCTGTCATTAATACTGAGAGAGGACCATTGAGTAGTCAGAACTCTGGACTGTCCCCCTTCATGTGTCCATCTGCTGTTCAGGCCTCAGTCTCCTTAGGAAACTGGAACACTTTAACTTGGTCGTATTTTTGGTTTCTGCTGTGATCTGGATTTGACCATGTGGTCTGGTTTGAACGTATCTCCCAAGGTTTATGTGTTGAAATTTAATCTTCCGCTGTGAGGTATGACGATGATAGAAATTTAATCCAACTGTGTATTTAGACATGGAGTCTTTGGGAGTTGATTGGGATAAGGTCCTCAGGGTGGAGCTGCCAGGACTGAATCCCAATGACTTTACAAGAAGACAGATCGGAGGAGACGCCTGTGTGCTTCCTATCTCCTGTCATGTGATGCTGTCTGCTACCTTGGAACTCTGCTAGCAAGAAGGCCATCACCAGATGAGGCCCCTCAACCTTGCACCTCTAGAACTATAAGCCCAAATAAACCTCTTATCTTTCTAATGTTCACAGCAATCAGGTATTTCATTATAAGAACCAGAAAAACCAGACTGATAGAGTGCCTTCCAACCACCAATGAACGATATTTACAACTGAGATCAAGTGTTTCCTACATCGTCTCTCATCCCTGGGGTCTCCCTACTTCTGTGGCTGTGAGGAGTCTTTGTCTAGACAGGAAACTGCTACTTTCATTAAGGAGCTATCAGATCTCTGATTCCAAGGAATGCTACTTAAGGGAAATCTTATTCCAAAATAAATGAAAAGGAAAAAAAAAACACATGATTTTTATGAACTTCATCAAATGTTCTACCTGGACAAGACAAACAACTAAGAAATTTACCCTCTCCCCATTTTCTTCCCCCTCCCCACCCGCTCCCTGAATTCTGGTGGAGGTTGATATTTAGGAACAGATGAACTAGGAGGCCAGCTAGGGAAAGTTCACAGGTTGGGTGAGTGGAGTGCTTCCTCCAGGGCCACTGCAGGACTTTCCAGCTGTCAGACCTTCCTGAAAGTGGGAAATGCAGATTGCTGAGGGCTTCCTCTGAGCTCCTAGTTAAATACTCATTAGGCAGAACCTGCTGAGCAGATCATGCATCTTAGTCAGGCTATAGGTACAGGCTGGGCAGGTGGAAGCAGGTGAGTACTTCTAGGGCCTGTTGTTCCATTAAAACTTTGCCCACTACAACTTTAACATTCACCAGTCCCAGTTTCTAAAAGGAGAATATTTTACCTGAGCCAGGGAGGATCCACCCACTTCCTAGGGTTAAACTGTCAGACCATCCTCCCTCTACCCACCGACCCCACGCCCTCCGTGCTGGGAATGGAAGCCATGGTCTCAGGCACACCAGGCCAGTGCTCTGCCATTGATCTACATTCCCAGCTCTTTTCCTCTATTTTATTTTATTTCTCTCTAAATATAAGTTGCCCAGGCTGGCCTCRAACTTGCCATTCTCCTACCTCAGCCCCCCAAGTCACTGGGATCACTGGCCCGCAGGATTCTGCCTGATCCTTCCTTCACTCTTGAATTTCTGAGTTCTCTGTAAGTCTTCATTGAGATTAATAATAAGAAAGTCTCGGTCCACAGCATTCTGGAACATGATGTCAGATCGCAGCCAATGAGAACTGAGGGGAGGARCATTTGACAGTGGCCTTTGGGTGCTCTGCTCACCCTGGGAGAAGAGTTGGACAGCAGGATAAGGCATTCCTATCGGCCTGCTTCTTGGGAGGGAAATGTAGAAATCCTTCCCACCCCAGCGTGGCTACGTCAGCCCCCAGCCCACCCACATCAGGCTGTGGTACTAATGGCAGTTGAGCAAGTCATAACAGCCATGAGCCAAAGAAATTCCCAGAGTTGGGTGCCCACTCGGCAAGACCTGATGTGAATGAAAAACAGGATAAATGAATGACAAAGCTTTTGCTCCTTCCATACACAAGGAGTAGAGAATCTCAAAAGACAACTACCTTTCCCAAAAGGACAACCCCAGTATTTATTTTTAAAGTCTCAACAAGTACCCTTCATTTCCTGCCCCCCGCCAGCCCCCTACCACCACACACAAAAGAAAGTAAATACAGACAGACCCCCACACACACAAAAAGAATAGGAAGCAATTATTCTAACTGGACCCACTGTTGAGAGAGACTCCTTTTCTCTCTGACTTGGATGGAGAAGCCCCTCCACTGATGGAGAGTATAAATCAGTACTGAACAGGAGAAGATTCTGCCTCCTGGGTATAGTTACCCAAGGAAGCATCCTGGAATTCATACAGAAGGCTGGAGCTGTGAGAGAACTTAGCCTTCATTGGCCCAGGTCGTTTATTTTACAGAAAAGTAAACCAAGACCAGAAAACCTAAAAAGCCCAAGATTGCCAAGCAAGGACTAGACACCGAGTAGGACCCAATACCTCAGCTTCTTGGGCTTCCTGGGTCCAAGATGAAAGCAGAGTGGACAAAGCGGTCATCAGGGTGGGGATCTCAGTAGTCCCCCGCCTGCCTCGGAAGTGTTTATAAAGAGCGTTTAGAGTGACAGGAGGAGACCGGTTGTTGGTCGGAACCACCTTGGTCAGACTGAGAGCCCCCCCTGGCCGTGGAGCATGGCTGCAGCCACATTTGGAGGCTGAACTGCCATTCCATGGCACATCCCATCCAGGGACAGCTGCCACATGGCCCCTCAGGGACACATGAGCCGTTTATTAGAAATGTTGATTTTTAAAAGACCCGAGAATGGAAGTTGCCAAGTAGACCACAGCACACAGTCTTGTTACCAGGGGACAGACACCGTTACTGGCTAGATTTCGCTTTGAAACATCCCAGGGAAAGGCGTGTCCTCTGGGACTACACCAAGAAGGCTTCACAAAGAACACCTTGTGCCGGGTTTAGGACAGGCTTGTGCCAGAGGGAGGCGGGAGGTGGGGAGCAGCCCCTCCCGAGCCGGCRGTGGCAGTTTCTTCTCCTGATGAACTCTCGACTTGGTGAAAATCCTAAAGCTCTTAAGGGAATGGGCCTGAGAGGCAGCATTTGCCCATCAGGGCTCAGAAGCAGCTCAGGCAAAGACTCTCCAGCCATGAAAAAGCAAAGACACCTGTGTGGAGAGTACCCTGCGCAAGTTCAAGGGCTGTGGACTCTGGTTGGAACCAGCAGAGCCTCCCCCTCCAGCTGCCTTGTGCCCAGCTATGTAGGGGCTCTCACTGATCTGAGGGCTGCTGTGGGATTGTGTGTGTGTGTTGCTTTGTTAGAAATAGTTGTGAACAAGTAGACAAAAGTCCCCTGTGGAGGATCCCTCTCTGTCCTTTGCGTTCACCCTCACTCGGCCGGGTCTGCCTTCACTGTGGCCCACTCATTCTCCTTTTCTCTCCCTCCTGAAGACTCCTGGTCCAGGCCCTCCTCCCTGCTACTTAGCCTCTGTGTCCTCAGTTGATCCCCAGGCCACCTCTGCAGTCCAGCGCTTTGCCTCCTGGGTGGCCCACCTGGGAGCCTTTGCGCTACTGGCAGGCCTGCTCGTCTGAAGAGTTAGGAGGCCAGACMAAGGACAAGGACTCTGGATTTATGGGCACACAGAGAAGTAAAAAAACAACTTACAGGGGCAGCAGGGCTGGGGTTATAGCTCAGTTGGTAGAGTGCTTGCATCGCATGCATAAGGCCCTGGGTTCAATCCCCAGCACCACAAAAAAAAAAAAAAAAAAAAAATGGGCATTTTTTCCTTCCTCCTTGTCTTTTCCATCCTCACAAGGTCTCTGAAACATTGCTATGGTCCACGATATGTCTTTTTGCCCTGGCAACTTTCTTCTATAAGCCAAACACCTGAGGAAATTAACAAACAACCCAGGAGCTGATGCTGACTTCTTTTTCTCCTTTGGAGTATGAAAATAAGTGAACATTTCCATTGTACACATGCATGGATGTTTCTCATGATTGTTAGGCTCTGGACTGTGGTGTTTTTTGTTGTTGTTTTTGTCAGGATATCTATGTGAGCTGAGGGACATTTCTGCATTGGCAATGCAGAAGGTTGCCAATGCAGAAGGAATCTTACCAGATGCTTTCTGTGAGAAGAACCAGTTGAAAGCAAAACACCCACTTAGGCTTCTGAACACCAAGCCTCTTTCAGAGCAGTAGATGCAAGAGGGTATAGCCCACAGCACACTGCTCAGGCCTGCTTCCCTATTCTGCCACTCACCTGGTCTGTGACTTTGGACAGGTTACAAAAATCTCTTTCCCAGCTGAAAAGTGGTAAGAATAGAATTACATATTTCTTAGGGTTTCTGGGATGATCAAATGAGGATTATGCAAATGGTATGTGGTGCTTGAACACATAGCACTTAAAAAGTGTTGGTGATTATTTACTATTATCATGTAAACTGATTGTGAGAAGGAGTCATAGTGTGGCCACATGATGAGTCCATGATGAGTCCGATCACTAAATTCCTCTTGGTTTTATCATGGGTTCTTTCATTTTATTTACATAGAAATAAACCCATATCAGTTACTTATTACCAGTACAAATCCGTACAGTTGTTCCCTATTAGTGTAGTGTGTGTTTTTCCTGATATGTTTACAGCCTCATAAATTAGTAGGTAGCCTGCAGCATTAGGGAGATGGAGGCATCTCTCTTGATGGGTAGTGGGAGAGTGACCCACTGTTTTTGCTACCCACACTGAGCTTAGCTGAAGCACCTGAGGAATAGGAAAGCCACCTGCTCTGGTTCATCTACTATATATCCCTCCCAAAACTTGTGTTGGGATTTAATTACCATGGTGATGGCATTAAGAGATGGGACCTACCAGGCATGCTCACAGGTACTGGTAGCTTCTTGGAAGGCTAAGGCAGGGGTATCACTTGAGCCCTGCTATTCAAGGCAACATAGCAGGATGAGAGAGAGAGAGAGAGAGAGAGAGAGAGAGAGAGAGAGAGAGAGAGAGAGAGAGAGAGAGAGAGAGAGAGAGAGAGAGAGAGAG